GCACGGGCGTACGTAAAGAAGATGACGAGAGCATTTTTCTGCAAGTTTCCTGCAGTCTGTCTTCTCCAATTGCGCCGTGCACGGCAGCGCAAACATTGTTTTGAACAATCAAAACCCTTGATAACTTCGGGTCTTTGACTTTTAAAACATTTTTTTAGTGACACTTGAGTTCATTTAGCTTTGATTTTCTCCATTTCCCCCATAAATGTTGAGCTTTTCATCCACAGTTATCGGTTAACTGGATCAAATGTCCTCGCTCAAACCAAAGTATAAAGTGTGGCATGTTTTTGACCAGCCAATAGGGACGTTTGTTTACTTTTTTTGTGCGTTGTGAGAATTTTGCACTCTATCCGGCACAATAAAAGGCTTCTTCGCGCAGATCCATGTTGTCGCTCTGTTATATAGAATTTGCCCATGCTTTTTGCTGTGCGTATATCGAGTTATGGATGCACTTAGGAAGTTTAGAGAGCACTCAAAAAGCTAGAGTTGCTCTCACGCATTTTTCGTGCTCTCCAAACTTCCCGTAAATAACATAGCGTGCGTGCTTGCCCTATATAAGTCCTTTTGATCCGCTATGAACAAAATCTTTATTTACGCACGCCCGTACGTAAACAAGATGACGTGAGCATTTTTTTTCACCTGGCTTCAGAGTTTCCGTTCTGTTAAGCTGCAGTGCAGTTTTCCTTCTCTTTGAAATATGGAAGAAACCAGCAATTGCACCGTGCACGGCAGCGTAAACATTATTTTGGACAATTAAAACCCTCGATAACTTCGGGTCTTTGACTTTTAAAACATTTTTACTGACACTTGAGTTCATTTGGTTTTGATTTTCCCCATTTTCCCCGTAAATTTTGAGCTTTTCATTCACAGTTACCGGTTAAACCAAAGTATGAAATGTGTCGTGTTTTTGACCAGCCAATAGGGACGTTTGTTTAGTTTTTCAGGATGTGAGAATTTTGCACTCTATCATAATAAAAGGCTTATTCGCGCAGATCCTTGTTATCGCTCTGTTATAAAAGAATTTGCTCATGTTTTTAGCTGTGCGTATATCGAGTTATGGATGCACTTGGGAAGTTTACAGAGCAATCAAAAAGCTAGAATTGCTCTCGGCTGCGCCTCGGGCTACTCTTACGAATTTTTTGTGCTCTCCAAACTTCCCGCTTGCATCTATAACTCGATATACGCACGCTAAGCATGAACAAAATCTTAATTATCAACTAAGTTAAATGTCAGGATCAACCACACCCCTGTTCTTTTATTTAAATACAGGAAACCACAAAATTTTTTTAGCTATAACCGTCATAATTCTTTAAATTGGTGATCTAAGAAACAGTAATCATAACTGAACTTGTGGCTGGGATACATCTGCAAGATACATAAGGAAAGAGCAAAGAGCGTTACGCTTGCAATACATGACTATTGTCATTAACTTTTGTGATTTCGTTGCTGATGCTATTCTTGTGTTGTTTGGATTTGTGGTTTTTGTTGTTGTTGTTGGTTACTTCTTTTGCCTACAATGCTCATCGGTAGATTGGAGTTTGCAACTAATCGATCCAGAATTTTAGTGCTTTCAAAATTATTGTCAGCTCTGGGGATGCCAAACATAAAATAACTTCCTATAGGGATCCAAGGATAATGCTTCGGAAAACAAAGAGACAAGCGATAAGCAACTACAACAACAAATAGAAAAAATAAGAAAGAAAATATAAGAAAGAAAAAAAATAGCAGAAAAGAGATGGTAATGCAAGCCAGTCTAAAGAAGTTTCCATAACATTTTTTAGAGAAAAAATTTATACAGTTCTTGACATTTTGTGTTGAAATACTAAAATCATGCTATTTTCTATGTACACTCTTTAGCTCTTTAGCCTCTTTAGCTAGTCACAAGTTTCCAGTCTCTCGCGCCGCAAAAAGGAGGCGCCAGACTGATCGTTGGGACGATAAAAACTAAGTATCTCCACGACAATAACCGAGTAAATAAGTGCCGCGAAATTTAAAACTATGGTTTAACCAAAGCCGACGGATAATCGTCCTGGTAGTAAAGATAAATAAAACTATCAATATTTTTTATCAAATAGAGTTTGATCCGCAGGTAGATTTTAAATTTGTTTTTTAGTTAGACGCCAGTATTTCATTTGTGCTGGCTTTCAGAATATACCCAATAGGCCTCTAAAAATTAATCCATTTTTATCTATTAAATATAGATAAATCCTTAACTGACATATATATATATATATATATATATATATATATATATATATATGTCAGTTACAGATTTCTTGCGTGAGTCTGTGGCGTAAAGTCAAAAACGATGTCACGGACATTTAAAAGTACATCCATTGCAACAATAAAATAGATTCATCTGGGCCTCATAGGTACTGCTATATTATATCACTCTTCTCGCTGGAAACTGACATTTGTGCGCATGGCAGAAGTTGAGAATGTCACAGGTTTTTCTACATCAGACTATATAGCAAGGAAATTTCATGAATTGAAGCAGTTAGGCTCTTTTATCTGCCACTTTTTGGCTTTATCTGTGTTTACTTTTTTCCCCCACATTCTTGCTTTTAATGCACTTGTTTTCGTTTTTCTAACTTTTGATTTCTTTAAAGGCGCCTACGTTTATTCTCGCAGATATGTATTCAATGCCATTATTAAAAACATTGCAGATGTCATAAGGTGTATTATTTTGAAACCACTATTTCAATTTAATTTTAGCTTGGTTTATTTTAGAATCGACAGGCATAGGAAACAATTAGGAATCCTTTCTTCATAAAAAATAACAGTTCAAAAAAGAAAAGGCAATTTTTCATCGTTAAAAACCATTAAGACAGAGAGTTGTCGGAATATTCAATTAATGGACATTGTGAAAGATTGATTTCCTTTTGATTCCGGGCAATGTTTTACGGATGAATTCCAAGTTTATCTACTATCGAAGTCTGTTGTTTTTGGCTTCTTTTTTTGTTTTTATCGCACAGACTATTTACATCTCCAATCTAACATAGGGACTAATCTTTTCAACCACAGGCGCAATCAATCTTTTGCAAGGAGCATTCACTACCATTTATAATCGACGCTAGTTATGTAAACATCATTTTTTATAGATGTTCGCTACCTCCCTGTATTTCCTTCTTGAGGGAAAAATAATTCAAACTGATGGGTCAGCTGTTATTAGCTGGGAGTAAGGCACACAACAACATGCGTTTATGCAAGTCACAAATGGTTAGTAGCGTCATCTTTCCATTCATGCAAGTTTTTAATTACGTATTTGCGTAGTTTGCGCTTCCGCCGGTACAATAAAAGCTTTATTCTTCAGACAAGCCATAGAAATTACGAGCAAACCAATGGCGGAAAGTGTCAAAAGAAGGCAATTTTGAAGGTCGAAACAAAACTATACTATTTGATAAGTCATTCCTAATAGTCGCTCTAATATGGAAAACTTCTCGAAGGTTGTTAGTTAAATGGGTCGATGTTCATTTTATTAAAGAGGCAACAGGAATTCTGGGAATTCAGATCATTCCGCGCAGATGCTGAGTACTGTATCCAAAAACTTTTACATCTGAGACATATACAGGACTAATTAATCAAGAGTAACTTTGAATTTTTGATAACTTACTGTTACTTATTTCACTTGGAAATCAGCAGCAGCTTCCATATTGCTAGCCCATTATGGCAAAGCTCTTTCACTTAGTAACCTGGCCTTTTTATTTGACGCGTTATTTTCGCCGGTTAGGGGTCTTCTTCTAGATTTTGGCGAAAGGGTTTTCCCTTACAAAACAAACTAGGTAACTTAAACTGGAAAAGTGAGTCAAAAGTAATCGCAGATCAAGATTTTTCCGGAATAAGAGTAAACAAATATGAATTTTTAGCAAGCTTTAACCCTTTAATTCCCAGTGATTAATGTGTCACTTCTCCCTATAATATCTAGACATTATCTACGAAACAGTTCATGTGAATATTCAAACTTATCAGGTAAAAATTGTTATCTCCATCTAAAACCAAATTCTCATAACTTATTTACAAAGAGAATTAGCAATCAGATCTTGGGAGTTTAAGGATTAAATCAGATGAGTTTTGTCTCTGATTAGATCTAATCAGAGATATCGGATCCAATGTACAAAACTAACAGGAAGAATTATAAAAAATTTTGATTTTTTCTCCTGTGTTACCCTTTGGTGGTGTCCGGGGGGAGAGGTGAAGGCTCTCGGAGTTAACAACGTCTGAAAAAATTAACCGGCCATAAATTCAATTTTTTCTTTAGTACAACATAGAGGCAAAAAAGCTGGAAATATCGGCTTGAAATATTCGGAAACATATTGATTACAAGGTTGTACATCTCAGCCATCTTAAACACCCCACTTATTCGTTTCATTGAGTTTCTTTTACAGCTGTTTCATTGTAATTTCTCGCCTCATTAACATCGTGAAAACTGCATGGCTTCATTTACGCTGGTTAATTTACTGAGTTACGATAATTTTAGAAAAGACTGTTTATGGAAGATGTAAAGAAGAGGAAATTAAAGTAACATTATTAAAAAGAATGTTTACCCTCGACAGCGGTATAAACGACGAGGAAAGTAAAAAAAATCTCGAAGCAAACAAAAAAAAAAACCATTCGCGTCAGCGTCATTCTATTCTCTTCTGAAAATTCATGACAACTGAGGCCACTAAAATTTGACAGCCGTGTCAGTTGATGGAAATGACTCATGCTGGGAACATAATATTTATCAAAATTCAAAACGATTGTTCAGAAATAGATTATTTAAGCAACGATTAGCCGAACGTGCTAATTAAACAAGATTTGTTTAACGACGCCGCTAAGGAAAGAGGCTATTATGGTTTATTCGAACACAGATGTTCAGTTACCATAGAGAAAGCTATTTAACCCAATCAATTACGCACATTTTGAAAGGAAATATTCTCTGCGTGGTAAATTGATTTTAATATATGCCGCACTTTGAGTCAATAAAACGCGAGAAACGATATAAACCGATAACAACTGCTTAAGCACTCATACGTTTCGGGTCGAGCATTGACAAGTTTCAACAAAGTCAAAAAAAGATCTCAGCTTGGAACTTCAACGACTTTAACGGTTACAGTGGTGAAGACTTACTAAGATCAGGCCTGAAATCAAAATGAAAAACGCTAAACAAACCAAAAGATTCTCCTTTTCAACCATGTTTCTTTTTTTGATAATTGTTGCGGCAGTCACTGCTAAAGCGACACAAAAAGACAGTTTTCATCAAATTGATGCCGCCATTGACGAGTACGCGGCCACGAAGAAACAGGCGCGCGGATGGAGAGTTTGCCACAGCGGGAAATGTTCTAATAGCCGCGGCCGTAAAAGAGGAATGAAAAGGGTAAGCTATTAAGACATGCTTTTGGGAGCAATTTAAAACTTTAACGCGAATTAGCCGTTAGCAATGTTTTAAGGTGATCAAGGTGATTGAACGAATTGACTAGGGCCACCGAACATCACCAAGCGACAATTTCAACGACAAATTTCCTTTCATCGCCATCATTTCATTTCGGTGGAAAAAAAAAGACTTCACACTTGATTCTTTAAAACAGTAACAAAAGTTGATGAGGGCGAAGGGGTAAAAAGTTTGGCTATGGATTGAAAAGATCTGTTTTGAACTTTAGCGTCCAACCATTGGAATTCCAAGCTTCTGTTTACCGTTGCTTGTCAGTTTTTGTCGCGTTCTATTGACTTTTGAACGAAATTTCGTTACAGGCAGATCAACGAAACAGCGTCTTGATAAATTGGATGATTTCAAAAGTGAATGTTGACTTGATCTATTCTGGCTAGATTAAGGGGGTGTTGTTATCCTTTTCAAACCACTGACTAAATTAAGGTGGAAAGTATAACAGATGGTACGATAATCCTTTCAGTATGCTAATGAGAGGAGATGTTTTTGTAGGATCGGCAGACACTGTTTCACTTGGTCTTTCTTTCTTCAATACGATTGACTTCGGTCGCCTGTCATGTACCACAAGTTTGAATCCTTTCACTTGCAACCGAACTCATTAAGTCGCTAATTATAAGATCTATTGATCTTGCAGCTAAGTCACAAATGTTTACCCGGCATTGTTTATTCGGCTGAGATTAAAACTTTCACGAGAGGCAAGATATGCTAATGGTTGATATTCTAATCCAAACGCACAAATTATTAATCATCATTTGCAACGTTCAGCGGCTGATTTGAAAATCCCTCCCACCCAGTGTTTTGTTCAGCAGTTCTCAGCCTTCCCTTATTTTTATCATTATCTCCTTTTCTCAATTATCTAATAACAACGTGACAGACCAAGAAGCCTAGAAAAATTCCGACAAAAATAAAACGAATATTTATTACACATTTATGATTTCGAAATTACAACCTGTCTGTCTCCATTAAGTATCGCACTGGCAATGATCTACTCTCGCTTACGCTTGACACATCAAGAGAAGTGAGGGCGATATTTACATAACAAACAAGTAGGAGCAATTTTTATGAAACTATTATTGAAGGATATTGCAGTCCATTCAGCGACTAGAAGTTCTGTTTTAATTTAGGTAGTTGCAAGCTATCTTACAAGTGTTTTCTGAAAATTAAAAATAATCCATTTACTGAGAGAAAAAAAGGAATCTTAGGCCTAAAGCTTGGATAAGATAACGATTAAACAACCAAACAGTTGGTGAAAGAAAGGTTCCTGAGTGGTAAATGGCGCCTCATGGGCGGGATTTTTATTTGCATTACTCAAACAAAACAGTTAATTGCATTGAACTGAAATCAGCCAGGCGGAAAGAGTACCGTTTTTTTGGCGTAAGCAATCACTAGGATGGTTGCTAAAGGTTGGTTGTAAGATATCGGTCAGACATATATTACCGAGATGAATACGATTTTCATTTAAACTTGGTTTACTCAAAGAATGGCTTTTCGATTAAAATCGAAGGTTCATTTTTCAAAAGATTTCAAACTTAACTTCAACGGTCTCGAATAGATGCAAATTACAAAGGGATTTGAATGAGGTTTAACCAACCAAAATTGAAGAATTAGGCTGGGGTAAAGGAAGAAAATCGATCAGTTAATTCAAATATATTTTTAAAAATTGACTGAGTGTAATTGGACACAAAACTTTAATGACGAGGTAATTTCTTACATCAGCAGCCGACTGACATTGATCGGCCTCTTTCCTGACTGATTTACGTCTCAACAGCTCCAACTGTCTATCAGTTGCATACGAATATTACTCCATACACACGAATAGATATCGATGACTATTTAGTAAAGTCGAATGATCTTCTATCATCTATTTTCAAAGTCTTTATCCCAGCAATAGTGGCTGATTCAGCAGCTTTCAAGCAAGATGTTCATGTTGCCAGTCCGCAGGAATTTAAGAATGTGGTAGAAGTCTCCTCTCTTTCCAGTCAAGATTTCTTGTAGACATTATTATTTTATGTTTACTCGTAGACATAAATGTAGTGACGCTTATCTGAATTTTTGCAGGCTCGACCACATTTCAAAGAGGAGCTGCAAGATTTCCAAATCACCAGCAAAGAGGATATCGACATACCACCAGCAGAAGCAAGGACGTTAAAACATTGGAAAGACGACTTCCAATCGTAATTTAAAGAAACCTCTAAAACAGGTAAGCAAAAATTCATGTTATTACCGATCAACAAGAAAGCTACCCTACAATATTGTTTTTTCTAGGCAGGAGGTACCATGAAGGAGTCGCCAGTTTTTCTTTTTTTCTATTGTTGCAATGGTTTCTTTCCTTCTTTATGTACATATTTTTGTTGTTGTTGTTTCTTATTTTTTGATTTTTCCTTATCATTATATTGCTGACTAGAAGGAATAGGATTTCTTTGTTCCAAAATGGCGCTGAAAATCAGCCATCAGGAGATAACCTTATGCCGAACGTTTCGCCATAGTCTCGCTGTGCTTACTATAAGAATAAAATTTCATTTAAGGTGAATGATAGGCACAACGTTAACAATCATTCCATTCATCAGTCATGCCGCTGTCGCGTTTTTGTATATTTAATTTCTGCAGAGCAGTGGCGTTTGGGCACCACCCGGCTTCCCAAATGCAATTATAGGTGTAGAACTTGTCCTCGCAAGCTGTGTTCCTTTTAAAACTGTAGTTCATTACACAACCAACCCCTCTAGCCTTTCAACATACTTACCCCACCCCTCCTCCTGAACACTGAAATCTTATTTATACGCAGAATTTTCCCTTTTCTTTCTCCTTCTCATTCCAGATTGCCGTTTCACTATCTACTATATTTGTTTACTGGATGTCAAGTCTAAGTCTTCATATTGTTTAACAACATTTTGGAAAATATCAAGTATCGATGGTCTTCAGAACTAACAACTAATGAAAGAAAGCAAAGTATTAAAAAACTAAAAGATCTTCAAATTAACTTATGGTAGTAAAATTCATGTGAACACAATAAAAGTTATCGCTTTAAAAAAATGTACTTACGTTCTGAGTCTCGATAAATCAGCTACAATTGAGTTCTTATCACCGGCCCACCTCTAAGTCACGACGCAAAGCAAATGATAATAGTAATCCAATAGAAGAGAAGCTATTCAAGATTACCAGGTTACACTATTGATACAAATCAACTTGACATTGATGTGTATCTACTCGTATAGGAAAACATTATTATCAGAGGGTTTCATTGGTGTGATGACTTTTACGGCTAACGTTTAAAAGTTTGCTTATCTTAATTTCTTTCCATTACAGTTAAGGGAATTATTTTTATCATTAATTTTTTTACGACTACAACTTTGTTAATTTTTACGCCAAACGACTAAATTTTGTCGCTGTTAAACGGCTACTGGTAAACTCCATCGAGGTCTACTTATCAGTCAGTAACCCTCTTATCAATCATATGACTAGCTCCAGAGCCCTAAAGAGAGAATATCGGCTGGGAGGGGGGGGGGGGGGTGAGGGGGGAGGCAACACCGCCCCATCAAGTACCCCCAAGCGGCCAACCATCGTGTCCCACTTACTTTCGCAGAATCTGTCCATCGTGTCTTGAATTAAATGGGATAATTTCCTCCAATCTACCATAGCATAAGATGTTCATTACAACATTCGAATGACTGCGACCACGCTTGGATCTCGAAATGAAAAGCGCTAAACATATCGAAATATTCTCTTTTTTGACGATATCTATTTCCCTATAATTTTGGCGTTGATTCAAGTCTTTATATATACTTGGTTTCTCACGGAATGGTTTGTCAGTAATTCTGCTAAAAATAAATATTTATTTAAATGGATTCCATACCTTCAACGTCCATTTCAATAAATGCAAACAAGAAAGGAAATTGGATTGGGTGTAATCAGCCAACAACAAAGTCCTGTGTTATTTTTAGGGTCGAGAGCCACTAGTTTCAAAGTTGAATCACTGTAGAGTGATACCCTTGCGAGATATAGTTGAATTATTTTTGTATTATCAGTCAGTTTTTTATAAGATACAATCAGAGTGCGTGCTTTTCCTGATTGACCTTTCAAGTTATTGAGACAAATAAATTTTAATTGATGTTTTCCTTAAACACTGCTCGCGTTCATCGAGCGCCATTACGTCAAGAACCGGATACGTGAGTAGAGCAAATTTCTTTGGCCAGTGCGCTTAAAGGATAAAAATATGCCATAAAAATTAACTAGAAATGAAGAGATTTGCGAGATGACAACAATGAACAGTATGTGTATTCACCATTAAGTTTATTCATTGCCTCGTTTACCCAGAGGAAAGGAGTGAGATTAGGCAGATTCTACTGAGGTTGTCTAAATGACAACCGGTTCCTCTCATTTTCGGCTTTAAACAGGAGAACTGATTGACATGTTGTTATTGCTCTGAATGGCCACGAGGGAGAAAAACATCTCGTCTCGTACGACTATGATTTGTTTGAAATTTTTTCTTGATCACCACTCAGTCTTGAAAACAAAGACAAGATTTGATAATTACCTGCTGATAACTGCGGCAAAATCTCTGCAATAGACCTTGAAATTCCCTGTAGCTTTTCTTTCGCAAATTTTGGTGTTCGCCTATTCGCCTTCACAGGCGTCACTTTTTGATAAAGAACAAGTATTTAGGGTTATTTGTCCTCAGTAAAATTTTCATAGTAACAAGTGCTTTACTCTAGAACATACATGTCAGTTTTTTTTGGTTTTTTTGGTTGCTTCACCATAGAGTCCTTCATTAACCAGGTTAAATTTCATCTGTTTACCAGCAATCTATGAATTAACATCCCAGACGATAAAAAAAAACGATTTAGAGGAGTTCAAAATGAATAGGAAGCAGTTGAAATTAAACAAAGGAATGGTTATCCAAATAAAAAGTAAATATCTTGTTGACCTGAACTATTTTCAAATCAATGTATGTAGATACTGAAAAGTTCCCTTTATTAATCAACAATTATTACAAGTAAAGTCTAAATTTGGTCTGGCAAAAGTTCTCCCTTCTGTACGTGATCTGGCGGGAGAAACAGAGTTCTTTTAATTAAAGAGCATTGCTTGCCGAAGTAAATTACTCTCATTGTCGGTACGAGAGTGTTTAACACTCTGGAGGTACGATTTATCAAAGGGAACAGGTGGTACTTCTCTGGTATAGCTCTCACTGTACCCACGAAAATAATAAATTAAACGCGTCTTCTTCTAAACGAGCCAATTCCCGCTGGTATTCGCCGCTTTCAAAATGCTCTTAATTCACCGTGCGTTGATTAATGTTGTAATTTAAGGTATATAAGAGCTGTTATTCAATGTTTTATGAGAGTTATAGAACCTTCGCAGGATTATAGGTCATTCTGTCGGCCAGAGTCAATATTTGTAGTTGTGTTCAATTATGCGTCTTGCCGTTCTGTGTTTTCTATGTGCGTTGATTTGGAAGATGAGCTGGAGTTTAGAGAACCGAGGAAATTCTATGATAGCCGACGAGAGAAGCAACATCGACAAAAGAAGAAAGAATAGAGGCGACCGCCCTCCTTGCTGGTTTGGTAGGTGTAGGAGAAGACGGAGTTATTCATTGGACCCCTCAAAGGTAAATTTTTTGTTTGGTTTTTATGTTTTGTATACACCAAGAACGTTCGGATATAAATCATCTGCGCTTCTATTTATTCTTTGAACTCAAAATATATTTTAATAATGGAATAGGTCTTGCACAGATAAATGAAAGATAAAAGTTACCGAATAATTTGAGCATGATAGAGAAGTATTGGTGTTTGCGCCTACAAGAAGAAAGAAACAAGTTTCCAATAGTCTTACAACCGGTTTTTAAAAATGGGCTAACCAAAATAAGAGAAGAAGTCGCTTAGTTGCCTTCTCTGTCAAAAGGTAAGTACTGAAGTGATAAACGGACATATGTAAAATGATATACAGCTATGAACGTGACTTTCCTGTGGCTCGCTGAAGTCCTTAATTAGGTTTTGTAGGCCCATCGATTTTATAAGACGTTTTTTGCGCGTATTAAACTGCGGAAACGGATGTTTTAATTGATATGGGTTTGTATGACGCATTGTACAACCGGCAATAACTCAGTCAGTGTAATTAAGAGAACAGCCGGAAATAGGCTAAGATGTATAACGCATGTAATTGTCTCAATAGGTCATAGTTTTCCATGAAAAAAAGGGAAAGAGTGAGATGATCTCAATTCTTCTCAGTAGACTTTAACGAAACGTTTTATCCGTTGGGCCACACGGAAAAAATATAAACCATGGCCACTGTTTGGCGCGAAAATATGCTTAGATATTTGTCCGCGGAAAATTACATCTTCCGAGAAGCGAGCAGTTTGTAAACGTTGAGGTCAGATGGTGTCCAAGGACAAATCTAGATGATTATCATCCTTGATATATATTTGCAACGCGCGGGACAAAATTTTTACAAACAGCCTACTCTTTGGTGTGTGAGAATTTTATTTTTCAGTGTTCTGTGCGAAGACTTTAAGAACAATGTCCTTTCTTCTGCAACCAAAACAACAACAACCAAAAAAAAAAAACTCTTATTTTGAATTAAATTTTAAACGAAGGATTTCATTCACGTAAGGTTTGAAAGTTAGGGAATACCATTTGCTGGGGAATATAAAAGGATATTTCCCAGTTTTAATTGGGGTATATTCGGTCACATGACACGGTTAGACCAATCGCGCAAAAGGTAAAACATTAAACGCGGATTGTAAGTTCAAATAGTTTTTCGCATACAACATTTGGAAAACTGATAAATGAAAGCTGCTGTGTTTGTATCCTTTAAATTATTTCGCTTAGGATTAGGGTTACGTTAAAAATTTACCTAAAGCTTGGCGTCTAGGAACAAATATTGGTTTTAAGTACCATCAGTTTTATTGTAAGTATACATTTTCAGCGTAATCCAAACGAGACTTTGAAATTCCCATCTTTTTGTAAATTATAAATGTTATAAATCGTAAATAACCCTGTTACAATGAGGAATAGACATAATACATATTTTATGTTTTGTTCTTAAATAGAGCGAGATTCGACTACACGATGAAGCAAAGTCATATGACATCGACGAAGAGCTTTGATGTGACTGACAGAAGCTGTCGACTTAAAATTTCAAAACAAGAGAGGAAATTGTATTCACCTTGGTGGTATATTAGTTGTGGACTGAAAAAAGAAATTTAAAAGTACAGAGTATTTTCTGCGATTACACCATCAAAATAGTACCATTGATATCGTAATCATTCTTTTGTTTCATTTATTCATTTTTTCATTACCTTTTTACTTTAATTTGTCTTCATTCGCCTATGCATCCATTTTATTGTTGAAGTCGACGGAAACGTTCAGTTTAGGAAATGACCAACGATATTTTCCCAAAAATAAAATCCATCTTCTCTTACAAGGAATCATTGCAATTGTATTTGAGGCTCGATTCTCTCTCTCCATTTTTCTCTCTGAATATCTTAATGAATCTCTCAATGAATATCTCTAGGCTGTGACTAACGCTTCGTAGGAATACCCTCTCTTTCTTCAGAAATACTTAGCTGCCCTTTTTGATTGCGCTTTCATGATAGCCATAACACCTCGCGTTTGAACCCATTTCGAAACCTTTAGGTGACCGTAATATTTCCTTTTTTCGCTTTAGGGTGGACTTACCTACGGAACAGTCTCCTTTTTCGGGATCACAATTTGGTAACGAGAGGCAAGTCTTGATTCGGATTAAACATTTGCATCTGCATTCACTAATACAGATGCAAAAAAAATTCAAATTTAGCTCCCTTTGCCAACAACAATGGTTTTTATGTGCTTATATCTGTTCGAACTATAGTTTAAAGTCCTAATACCTCATGAGTCCTTTGTATTAAGGGTGCCGTATATCCACTGTACATCATTCTAATGCAATGTGTGTTCAAAACGGTTCTTGTTCTGCCTCTTGCCCTTGTTTGTTTGTTTGTTTGTTTTTGTTTTTTTTTTCCGTTTTTTGTTTTTTTTTCCGTTTTTTGTTTTTTTTTCCGTTTTTTGTTTTTTTTTCCGTTTTTTGTTTTTTTTTTCTTTTGATGTCATCTGTGATCCATTTTTTTCAGATTCAGTTGAAAAGCTTTGCGATAGATCCTGGTTCAAAAGGCTTACTGTTCCAAAACATTTGACACTGCTATCGCGCACTGCATCTAGATTCAAGACGATGTACACAAAACACAAAACCAAGAGATAACGTGGGAATAGCTATGCCATTGGCTCGAATAGGTCCCATTAGACTGAAACGGAGGGTTTTTTTTCCCTTAGATGTTCGCACTCTGGTTTTGCCATGAAAAGGGTATCCAATGGGCCTAATTCATGAGCCATCCTCTTTTCCCTCCCACTTTCACCTAAACAAATGTAGAAGGCAGCTCATGCTTAGAATGCATTGAACAAAAGGTTAAGAAAAATGTTTTACTCTCCTTTTGGATCAATTTTGTCTTCTTGACCCTCAGTTCACGAAGCCCCTCACACATTTTGAATTGCATACTTAACCCTTCGTCACCTTAATATCCTCCAACAAGCCACCTTTCCTCTACGATTACAGCAAGGTATTCACTATGATATCACTTCCTTTTTAAAAAGTTAAAGCAAACAAACAGTCATAGATATTCTTACTACTAGCGACAGCAAATAGTGACTCAGCAGGTGCCCATGATGAATATTTCATTGAACTAAATTTGTCCCTTTCACGATTTACGAAATTTTGGAATGTTGAAAAGGGCAAACTTCCATTAGAAATTATCTTAGCAGTGTTTACCTTCATTTTATTCAATGATTTTTCCTTTTTGATTTTATGATTTCTTTTTTTTTTTTTTTTCGCTGTTACTCTTTGGATTCCGCTTTGCTTTCCATTATCGCGGGGCTTTGTTCAACTACGATTGCTGCACTCCCCAATGTTGACATTCTATTTAGCCGTATAATGCAGCCCAGGTAGTTAAAAAACTGAGTTTGGAATATTTGCCATATCTCTTTTTGCTACTTAAAGCCATTAAACCGTTATGTTTCATTAAGTATTTATTCATCAAGCATTTACTCACTCCTAATGGAGTGAGTAAATGCATTTCGTTATACTAAGGAATCTTGTTCTCTTAATCGGCTACAGCCCTGTTTAATCTCGTTTACGCGTATTCTTTTGACGAGCAGTTAAAGCTTTTGAAAATAATGTTGTTAACCGTCAACTCAATTGGAAAAATGCGAAAAATCAAAATATTACCTATGACTTCATCACACCGAGAGCAAAACAAACAAACAAACAAACCACACTAGGGAATTGTTGATTGATATTTTTTAGGGTCATCCGGTGAAAGAGTTAGAAAGATTCGTTATTTAGTTTATGATATTGAGAAAACTGCGGAGAAACCTACTGATTCACCTTTTGTAGATTTAAACGAGAAAAAACGCTTTTCTTCGCTCTTTCCCTTTCCTTCTTTTTCGTTTAAAGGAGCGATATTTTGTCGATTTTGGACATAAGACCAAGTATACTTTCAATCGAGGGAACCAAGTGAAAGTATCCCCTCAACCTTGACTCAAAACAACACATACAGATAATTCTTTTACATGAGCTCAAAATATCTTTTTCTTTACATTATACCACCAACTATGTCATTTTCTTTATTTGATTAACAACCAGCCTAATCACAGTCTAAATTCAATTGTTGACAAACAAAAGGCTTCGTAGGAAAAAGCTTTCAGCTTTTTTTTTTTCTCGCGATTTTCTCAAGCGAAATCACAGAGCTTTTTATTCATTATTTAAGAAATATAGGGGGGGAGAGAAAATAGAGTCGTAAAGAGAGCATTTTTATCTCCTCGTTTCTGATTTCCTCTATGAGACTACATAAACCTTCGTATTTTTTTCCTTTCTTATGCTTTAATTAAATATTCATTCTTTATTCATTATTCTTGTATCACTGCCAAATGAGGGAGTTTGTTTGCTTGTCCATTACTGGAACTTAAAATTGGAAGCCATGCGTGTTTTCGGAATCTTGAAATGGCTTTTTGAATATAAATTATAAATGGGTGTTGGCAATAAAACCACTCGTTCGAAAGAAGAAGTCATTTGAGGATCTCTCACCAGCAGAGGGCTTCTTAAATAAGGTAAGAGAAGAATACAGCGATCCACTGTTTATTCTAGTCCGCGTGTGAGAGAGTGACTAGAACTTGTTAAGCTATTATGTTTTGTGTTTATTTTGTTTTTGTTTTGTTTTTGTTTTTGTTTTTTGGTTTTGTTTTTGTGTGTATCTCATCTCTCTAGCATTGTTCTCTATGCTTTTCTTTCTGCCTTCCTGACTATTGAAGCAATTTTATTTCTGGAATCTTAGACGTAAGCACGCTGTAAATATAAAGTAAATCTTCTCTTGAATACGATTATTGCTTGCAAATTAGCTAACTTTTCTTGACCGATTTGGCCAGTGGACTCGTCAGGTATTTTTCCCCGGAACAGAAAATTAGTTACGAACGTTCAAAACGAAAATGAGAAGGCTATGGAAAAAAGAACTGATTTAAACATTTTGAAAATTTTCAGTACGTTGAACTCAGTTTATAAGTTTTGAGTGAAATCGTTACTCCAAGTTTAGCATGACAGGCGTTGTTTTCCAGTGCATAAAAGCTTCTCGCCAATATAAGTACTTTCCACTAAGTGGTAGATTACGTAAAACAAAATTTTTGTCCTTGCAGAATTATTTCCCTTTGTGAAGGACAGACTGCTGCCGTCGTGGGCTCATCAAGACGCGATGGCCCGTGATAATAAGTTCTGCTCAATTTTGCTGCTTTTCTTCGTTATTTGCGCAGTGTCAGGTTGGTATCCTTTCTCGTTGTATTGTCATAATTATTATTATTATTATTATTATTATTATTATTATCATTATTATTGGAGTTATTATAATATTATCGCAGACAGGATTGTTACCATTATTTTTGTTGTTATCCAAAATATCATTATTATCAATGTTATTGATATATATTATCATAAATATTATTGATATATATATGTATTGATATATATTATCATCATTATATATTATATATATATATATAAATGAAGTGGGAGTAGAGTCTACCTTGGCATAAAGTGCTCCAGGACGCATCGATTCTCTGTGACTCTGAGTTTCGCGCCTAAGCGCTCGTCAGACGAAACTCAGAGTCACAGAGAATCGATGCGTCGTCTTTAATTCTTTAACTTATGTATACTTAGCTCTGCTACCACAGCATTGAGCACTTTATGCCAAGGTAGACTCTACCCCCACATTCATTTATATATATATATAAAAGGATGATAGTCATTCATAGCACTCTCCAAATCTTGGGTAATTACTCTTACCAACTCTCGAGTCCTGCTATTTGTTTTCCTCTCTTCTTCACAACATTATCAGATATGACTACGTCCATTATAGATACGACTAAAGGCAAATAAATTCCATTTCTTCGTGTCGTGGTAAGAACACGAGAGATAATAATCGAACATATTTTTGTTGCCTTTCCAGATGGACTACTGGTAACTCTACTCTCTTTTTCTGGTCGACCAAACGTTTGGTGGAATGTCCCAGACAATCACCAACTCATGGCAGATATAAGGAGCAATCTGACGGAAGCGAGGGACCAACGAGCTACTTATACTCTAACCATGATACCTCCGAGGCTCGGGTACAAAGGACTCGTAATAGGCTTTGGGGAGTTAGCAGTCGGTGCCGCAAGTAGAAAACTGCAATTGGTTTTGCTTGACAGTATACCAGACAACCTTTTACCAGCTGCTTATATCAATAGGATGAAGAGAGAAGTTGACGCGGTAGAACCGTTTAATGCCTTTGGGGGCGGTGGGGACGGTGGGGACGGTGGAGGCGGTGGGGGCGGCGGGGGCGGTGGGGGCGGTGGGGGCGGTGGGGGCGGTATTGACGGAGGCGGGGGCGTTGCAGTCCAAATTGGCGGTAAAGGAGGTAATAAAGGCAAAGGGCCGGTCATGAGAAAGAAGCGTTTGGTCCTTGGCTACAATCCTTTTATTTGGAACCTTTTCCCTATTGTGCTTTTTAACAACTGTTACAACTATGCCAACAATAGAATGACGCACACCTTTGCACAGCCTGGAAGGGGTTCGGGGGCGATATATGCAGGGATAACTGGCGCTCTGGTGGAAACAGCAGCAGTGAATGATGGATTGCGAGTCATTGCCAACCCGCAATTGCCGGATAAATCGCCGGACTTTGTGGTGGCTCTTGTTGTCGAACCCAGTAAGTACAAATCAAACCGTTGCTTCTGTAAATGTTTTTTCTTTTTTACAAAGGGACCATAAGATCTCAGATTAAGCATGACACTTCCTATGACTGGAATTGCTTTATAATAAAGTTCGGATATAACGCGCGCTGTCATTGTGAAAGGGTGTACTCTATCGGAGTACAAAGCATAGAGCTGAGCTAAAGCTGTCACGCCATCTGCCAATTTGTTTTATGCCCAATCTTCCATGGACTTCTCTCCAGCTTTTTTTCGTCAATTTAAAAAAACGTTTTTGAACTTGCAAAGCGTCGTAATTTTCGTTATTATAACGTGAGTATAGACGAAAATCCTCAAAGAGTAAACGAAATGGACACTCCGAGTCTTGAAGGTTTTCACGCTCAGTTAGATTGGAAGCTTACGAAAGGTAATAAAAATCAAATACAGCTAACACCTGTATAGTATGTATAGTTCGTGCTCAAAAACAAAACAGAACAAAGCAGGAATGATGAAAAATATAACCAAACTGGCATAACTGTTAAAAATTCATACTAATCATGACATTGTCGAAGCGACTGCGGTCACGCTGAGGTCCATCGCGGCTAGCTCATCATGGCGATCTCGGGTCATCTCAGTGAGGCAAGCCTCAGAAATTACGTCGTCCGCCCTTCGGGTGAACAACTAAGAGCTTGCTCTGATATCCTTTCCGATATGTTGAGTTGAAGACCGCATCAGTCACAGCAGCCAAGTATTAGGGCGCTGGCATTCCAAGAAATGTCTTTGTAAAATCCGGCTGCCGTTCATTCATAAAACACACGCCTTTTAGCAGTGAGTTTTCTTTTGTCATGTGGAAAAAAAAATTGAGTGTTTTTATGAGCTACAATTGCGAATTGTTCACAGATTGTGAACTTTGATGGTTTGACAGCGTTGATCTTGTTCGACCAATCAGATTATTCGATCTATTCCAACAAGGATTCTGATTGGCTTATTGTAGGTTTGACAGCGTTGATCTTGTTCGACCAATCAGATTATTCGATCTATTCCAACAAGGATTCTGAACGCAACATCATAAAATAGTAGGTTTCCATAACTTCAACCGCACCGATTATCCATAGACCATTAAAGGTATTTTTTCCATAGCAATCAATAGTACATTTAACTTGGGAGTCAATACACGACGTAAACTGTTAAAATATAATTATTCCCTGAAAAACATTTTGTGTTTGAAGTTCACTTGCGGTGATAGTAGCATGCTCTTATTTGCTTTTCCATTAGGGATCAGACTTTATTTATAGGGAAGGGGACTGAAGCTAAGAAGACTTATGGGAATGTCATTGTTGTCAGGGGATAGAGGGGACCAGTCGTCTCCTCCAATCCACCCTCAGCCAGGAGATAAAATTAATGAGGGTTGTGCAATATTTTGAAGAACCTGCTGTATTTCCTTGTTCCACAGATGTTGACTTCCACTGGTATGTTCTGAACCATCATGGTCTATGGTCTCACAAGCCTGGTCAAACGGCCGCGGTTAATTGGGATAATGCTGGAGCACCGATAAATAATGTTCCAGCTTGTAATATGGGCAACTATCAGTTCCGCAGCTACATGGCGACCAACTATTTGACTACGATCCAGTGATCGCAAAGAGGTCGTTTCTCATTATATTGTTTAACCCTGAGAATTAAGGTATAGCTCTGTAAAGCTATTTCAAATAAAAGGGTATTGCTTCAATCACTTTCTGTGTCAGCCGTTGTTTATAAAGTTAATACCACATGAGTGGATTATCACTCTTCAGGCAACTAAGAGCCATGAGAGATCGAAGGACCCAAAAATTCGGATATTGTGGCACCCAGCGGAAGAAAATAGTTACCTTCCAACGTTAGCCATATAATCGGCGTTGGAGTCTAAACCTCGCAATTTAGTAGTCTTTGTGGAGTACAAACTCCATCTAACTCTTAAATTTGATTGTTTCCAGTCCTTTTCAGGCACAGCCATGTTTAAAAAAAGGATCTACTAGATCCAATTTGAAAGCACTAATTATATTAGCAATTTTGTTGGCTCTCGGCAGTGCAATGTACCCACAAATGGCAACACTTTGAAAGTGATTTCTTTCATAAACTAGGGAAAAGACAATTATGGTTCATGCATCAGTAAATTTGTGGCCAATGAGTATTTTCTTTACACGAGCAACCCATTTAAGGTACCATTATTTATCGCCAGGGAGGGTGTGGTGGTGGGGGATTTTGGTTGTTGTCCCGATAAAATTTAACTTATTCCTCCCTCAGGCTCTGTAGTATTCATATGAAACCCCTTCACTCAGAGTTAATTGGCAGTAGATTTTCTGTACTCTCTCCGTTATAAAGGAACTCTTTTTTCGACGACAGATCAGGCCACCTCCTTTCCCCGAACAATGAACAAGAACAATGTGATCCCACAAAAATACTGGAACATGATGTGATTTTCTTGAGTCTAGACTAGTTCAACCTGAATGGTGACCTTAGAGGATCGCGAAACCACTGTCGTAAGATTCACTAAACCTTGTGCACTGACGACCGCTTTTTTTTTTTTTTTCCTTTTGCATATTTCTATGAACGTTTTAAGAGGCCCTGCGCCTAAGAAACAACCGATGATTTCTAGCTAAAAATTAAAATCGGCCGATTTTTATCTTCCAAGTAGAGGTTACCTAATACTATTTAAAAATGAATTTCTTTTGCTTCAGTTTCGTTTTAAACCAAAAATATCGAGCCGCGAACTTGTTACGTCTGATAGAAGCAAAATCTGTCCCAAAATATGCCCTTTCAAAAACCGATTCAAAAATCACTATCGCAACACAAAATAATGAGAAAACTACGCGGTTATGAAGAAAAAGGCCTTTTAATGCAATATTATTCGATAAACATCGAAAAACTGCGGAAGCGAATGAAAAATAAATTTTCAAATATTGCATATCAAATTAGATGGAGCGTTGGAGATAATTTTAAAAATGAATTTGAATTTTTGGAAAAACATTTTTCGGCCACAGTATATTGACCTTGTACGAGGCGTTCAAAGTTGCAGTGTTTACCGTTATGATGCTACTTCGGCGAAACACTTCTCTGTTGCCAATACGTCCATGGATAGTGTGTTAAATGTCACTTTAAACCTTGCTAGGCGCTCAAATACCATCCTATTCTTACGTGAGTCTATCGGCACAGATATATCAAACAACTGAGACACCTCCTTGGTCATGGCAGTGTTGATCTCGTCACTACTTTTGACGCTGGTTGGTGGTCCTTTGTACCCTGGATACTGACACAGCTTTGAGGGCCTCCAGTACTTGCCCATACCATAGCGATGGCTAGCACAAACGCGTAATGTTTTCACTTCTTCATGAGACAAACGGTCGAGGCCAGCCCTTTGCAGGATGACCTCGTATTCTTTCAGGTTTGCACGCGACAAAAAAAATTTTTTTAGATGTGCAGTTACATCATCTCGACATTCATACAGAAAAACTGTCTCCGTGCGACCACGTGAGGATCCGCAGTCCAGGAAACCCTCTTTTGACAAAGAACAGGTATCCGCCATGATTGCCTGGTTGTTTCTATTTTTACGTCCGCTGACCTCTGTAAGCGCTGACCCGTAACGTCCTTTGGAATGTAACGAAATACACGCAGCCCAGCAAAGTACTAAATGGACACTATCTGAGGCTAATTTTCACCTGAATTCATCATCATTCATGGCAACAATATAAAACTGTTTCATTTTAGGATTTCTGGCGGCGGAAGAGTTGTTTTTTACTTCTATTTTACGCATTTGCTTGGATTCCGCCGTAGTTTGGAGAAATGAGTGCTGTCACGCGATAACATTTCCAAGATTCAACTCACCTCAGCAGATGGTAAATGTAAATTATTTTCTTTCTATACCGATTTTTCATCTTCCTTTCTCTTTTAATACCATATAATTCTATTAAGGATGGTATTTGAGCACCTAGCAAGGTTTAAAGTGACATTTACCACGCTATCCATGGACGTATTAGCAACGGAGAAGTGTTTCGCCGAATTAGCAATGTAACGGTAAACACTGCAACTTTGAACGCCTCGTACAAGGTCAATATACTGTGGCCAGAAACGTAATGTTTATTCTTCTAATGTCTGATTTATCATTGTGATTGCTTTTAACAGCGTTGGATTTTGTAGAAATAATTATTTTAAATCATCTCCAATGTGCTGCATTCATCGTTTCGGCCATTTTTTCACGAAATGGCTCAAATTTTTTCGGAAAAATACTTCGTTAATAGTTTCTATATGCAAATTAGCTTCATGCGTTCGTGTTATAATACGTGTCAAAAATAGTTTCCGTAACAACATTTAGCCGTTCAAAGAAGTGTTCCTATAAATGTGAAACTCATCTGTTGTAACCTTTCTTTACAGCTTTACATAAAATTTCAAGAGCCATTTCCTTTGAACACAATGCGCTAGGGGAATCCAGTTTTTTTTGACAACCAAGTTGTTCATTTCGCGCAAGTGTTTTTTCTTGTGCATAATCTTTTCAGACCTCTTTTGCCGTTTTTCTTCAGGAAAATAATTCACCCGTACTTGGGGAAAAATTTCGTCTTACTATTTGTGAAAGTTTTTTAGCTTGTGAGATAGTTGGTTCTCATGATTAGGTCAGCATTAGATTCCATCCACCAAAATCACCTTGGTCGAGAGGGACTGAGATGGAATGATAGACAACTCATGACTTGTTATACTAAATGAAAATTACGAAGCTACGACAACATGCCGACTTATCCCGATGACCTAAGTGTATCATTTGTTTGGGAAATTGCGTCAAAACTTTTTACTCAAGAAATGGTAAGTATTAATTTATTGTTCGATTGTAGTATTATAAAACATTTTACACAATTTTATGCAGATATTTCACGTATTTAAAAGGTGCCCAGATGTTACGTAGTTTTGGTGGATGTCATTAGGGAACATCCACCAAAACTTTGACCAAAACCATCAACAATATATTTTTTAAATTTTATCTATAGCCGCTGTTAGATGTTCAGGGAGACAAAAGATTTATACCACTAATTAGCAGTTAGTGCTCTGGCTAATTATTTTTTATGGTGCACAATTGCTGACCGACCAAACGTTCATAATGATTATCATAACTCTTAACACATAGAATAAAGTGGTTTTGGTGGATGTTTCTCTCCATCCACCAAAACCACCATAGCAATTTCTGCTACTTCCTTACAGAAGACTGATGTGACCTGCTATTTGGAGTACATAACCACAATCTATTTCTTTGTATGTAGAGATATTTTGCAAAGTTCTTGAGTCAGCACCTTTTATTATTGAAACCATAATCATAACATGGTGCACAATATAGAATACAAAAGGTTCTGGTGTGGTAATCATGTAATCTTGAAACAGGAGAGTTTTTAACTGACTTAAACTGATTTAAACAGACATTTGCAACAAAATTCCAGGTCCAGAAATTTCTTCCACTATTTCCGCTAAAATCATAACCTTTAAGTACAACAAATCAGCACATTAGTAATTGTTATCAGGGGTCTGAAAATCCTATTTCAAGTAACCTTCAATTTCACATGGATGAATAAGTATATGCTCAAGATGCAGAATGTCTTACATTTTACAAACTATTTCCCTTTTTATGGATAGACAGTGAAAGGCCTTTGCCACATTGGTGAATCAAACCATTGTATACCATGCATTTTGTGATAATTGTTTGTTTTTGCTCACAATATCCAGAAAAATGGAGGGGATAAATTTAAATAGAAAATTCTATTAATGGTTAAAATTAATTAACATTGGAAGATCAAATTAACTTTGTACTGTTTAAAATTCAGTTTTGGTTTCTTGCTTATTCCAGCCTCTTAATATTCAAAAGCATTCCTTGTCATTTTTGTGTTCTTCTGTGTACATAACGTGAAAAATAAACACAGAGAAAGGAAACTACAAAGGATTAAACTTGAAGCTAAAGCAAAGTTTAAGTTGAGCCATAGCTGATCCAAATACTGAGCACTTTGTATTGTAACCCATTTAGCAGTAAAGTTTATCTATATGTCTGCCAGCTTGTCACAAGTCTTACCCCTCTCCTTCAAAAGTCTTTATAAATAAATTTTTCTTTGTGGTCCCTAATTGATGATAAGTATATTACAGCTCCTCAATTTTCCTCTCTCAAGACAAGGTTACTCTAAATTTAACAAAGTAATGGACTTGATAAACTCAAACTATAACTCAGCTGGCTGCTACTTGCAACCTTAATTTCTAGATATCAGTATACAATAATCAATATGTTATAAATAAGAACCCTAATGCTTAATTTTGCAGTGATCACCTTCCTCCTTTTCATTTGCAGACCAGACTGGAACCTCTATAGGTGTGTTTGCTTGTTTTGAGTGGGGATGGAAGAAAAGGAGTCATGCCGTATATCTGATTTATTAAATCGCATTTGTTCTGTTTATACATGAGTAGAACTACCTTGTTCTCTGAAAAAAATAAAATTTCTCGCATTTTTATCTGTGCTTTGCAGTCAAACTTCCTTGTGTCTTGGACAAGAAATCTTATTTTCTTGAAAACAAAATCTTTGTTTCCAGCCTTCTGTAATAGGTAAATATAACAGTGTAAGATGAGTGACAGTGTATTTCTCAAGTTATTTTTTGGAATGTGACAAAACGGAAGTGTCATAGCGTGATAAGGAGCAAACATATGATTGCTTGATAGAAAGCAAAAAATGCAGAA